AATTGAATTGTATTCAACACTTCATCAATATAAATGTCAATGAGACCATCTCAAGGAAAGCAGTAATTTGTAACATCTCATGTAGTTATGTATGTGATACTAATTTAAGAATTTATCATAAAAATKTATAGATTGATTTTTAAAGCAGAAATTTATAAATTTATAATCATAATAATTTATGTGATCAATGATGAATTATAAACAAAATAAAAAATGTTTTTTTATATATACCAATTTTTACAGTCTGGGCCAAAGTGGTTGACAAATTATAAGAAGGGTAAAATGAATGAGATGAATCGTATCCATTTTTTTTCAGTGCACACTTTTGACAATGAACTTCGAGTGTGGATGATGGCATTCTGTGTTCATTGTTAAATGGACACTTGACCAATTTATCCTGGAAGTAAATAAGTACATAAAATACATAATATTAAAATTATAAAACTGTCTTAATAATTTAAATTTAAACGCGAATTATTAAATTAGTTATTTCAAATAGACTGTAGTAATATATGTATAATACGACCTAGGAACTTATATTTTTCTCAAACATGATTTTTCAATTTGGGATCTGCAATATATCGTTTTTATACATTGAAATAATCATCWACAACATGGAATTTAAGTTTTTTTTTTTAAATAATAAAATAAAATAGATTACCGATGTAATATTTTTCATATAAGTATCACATTAAAAGGATATTTTAATTAATTTATGAGAGCATTTGTTATCTTTGTCAAATAATATAAAATGTAGCAAATTTTAYAATCAGAAAAATCTATTTTCAATATTAGGAAAAATTAATTTTAAAAATCTAAAAAACTTGCTTTAAAATTAAAATACATAAAAGAGATACAAAGTATACAGCAATAGATCCAGTCATATATTTCATAATTTCTGTGGAAATTGATATATTAAAAAATATATTTATATTTAATATATTAATATATTACATTCAAGTAAAAAAATGTATTATTCTAAAAATGAAATTGTCAATGTCGTACATGAATTATGAGACGGGGACATACATGGAAGATTTAAGTCATATTCATAAAATAAAACAATACACTTATAACTAATATTTATTTTTGGTTTGGGATTCAAAATTATTTTGTTAATCTCTAAGAGTCTAAGTTAGATGAAAAGTGTGGGAAATGTTGTTCTCACGCAATCTTTTAATAATAATTAATAACATAGCCTTTTAATATTTGAACACTAACTTGAATGATAATCATTCATTTAGTATTTATAAAGAACCCAATATCTAAATAAGCAGTACAAATGTTGGAACTGTTAGAATTGGCTTATTTATTGAATTTCATTCAATATTAAAATAAGCAACTATTCTTAAAGTTAAAGACTATAAGTGAAGTATTGAATACTTACATTGTTTGGTGTTTCATCTAATGTCCATCCAATTTTTTCAACAAAACACTTAAGTGTGTTTCTTGTTTGGTCAATATAGTTTTCAAATTGCTTCAACGTCTCTTTTCTGCTAAGTAGTTCTTCCGTTGATAAATCCATTCTCACAACTAGACAATTAGTTGACAATTGATTTCTTCTTATTTCTCATTAGTGAAATTTGAGATTGGATCATGAGTATGGCATAATAATATAATCACGCTGTACTGATGGTAACTTCTACAAGATTAATAATYTCTTATTACTTTCGTCACGAGCATCAAACCGAATAATTATACTTGACTTCTTGATGGATCATAAAAGACAAAAATATTAATTTATGACAAAGTAATTAATAATTATAACAATAAAAGTATAGAGCATTTATTTTGTCATATACTTACACGATACTCACATACATGAATTCGTCATCCAAAGTGAAATTGTATCATTGTATCATTCAAATTTCATAAACAATTATTATTATTTTTATAATTTGTAATTTTTATTCTGTAAAGTGTAAATTAGTTAGRCAATTAACGACGTCGACGACCCACGAATCCACATGTAGATGATCTAAATCTAAATCGTTGAATTCTCCAATCTATATGCTTAATGCTTATAACCAAAATATGTGAACACTATATTATCACTAATAGATAAAAATAATTTTAAAATCATGAATAGTGATAAATAAAATTTTGAATTTGGATATATATCATAAATTATGTATTAAGCAACGACATTTTTATAATACGACTATGGTGAAATCTATTCTGTGGTTTTAGTAAGGGTTAAGGGGAGWGAAAAGAGAGAGAAGAATATGGTTCAAGACGTTTAAGTCATCCCCAGAACCCTCAGTTCAAAAAATTACATAACCCAATTTTTTTTTTCAAACAAATAGGTAATATTGTAGATAGTGTTATCTTTCCCGCCTTTTCAAACAATATCATTACATTATTACAATAAATGTCCAAACTCATAACATTRCCTTATAATTTATTGTAAACTGCCCATCAGCCCATCATTCACATGCGACCCTACTTAAAAATGTTGTACGTTTAAAAATAATTTCTTCTAGTTGATTCATAGATCGAATTTTTAATTCTGGACAGTGATTTTGAAATGGAAGTCGATATTCCAGAAGAAGGTACCTCTACTTCGGCAWCAATAGATCCGATGGAAGGATCCTCAACCAGTACAAACGAGGGTTTATCTACTGCGCTACCTCAAACCAAAATTGTTAAAAGTGATTTAAATACGCCATGGTAAGTGCAATATGAACTTACTGATAAATCTATCCATATTCTGTAGATGGCATTCTGATTATTTGTATGGTTTAATATTCAGGATTGAAAAATATCGTCCAAAATCATTCTCAGACATTATTGGAAACGAAGAAACAGTTTTACGATTGGAAAAGTTTTCTTCGTGTGGAAATGTACCAAACATAATTATYGCTGTGAGTATTTAAAAATAATCACTTGTTTATATTTTTTTAATATTTTCTATAGCAAATTGTGTTAATTTTTAAATATTATTACAAGGGTCCTCCTGGTGTTGGCAAAACTACAACAATATTGGCTCTGGCTAGAATACTTCTAGGAAGTGCATTCAAAGAAGCTGTATTAGAATTAAATGCATCCAGTGACCGTGGTATTGATACTGTACGAAACAAAATCAAAATGTTTGCCCAGCAAAAAGTCACATTGCCTCCTGGTAGACACAAAATAATTATTTTGGACGAAGCCGATAGGTAACTAAATACTTAGTTAAAATAATATTTATTTATTGTGTACTTCTATTAATGTTTAAAATATTATTTGTTTTTAGTATGACTGATGGAGCCCAGCAAGCACTTAGACGWACTATGGAATTATGGAGTAATACAACAAGATTTGCCCTTGCCTGTAACAATAGTGACAAAATTATTGAAGCGATTCAGTCACGYTGTGCCATGTTGCGATATGGAAAACTTTCTGATCAAGAGATCATGACACAAATGCTTAAAGTCTGCAAATCCGAGGAGGTAATGGAAATATGGCATATACATTATATACATTATATACTTAATTTTGTTATTTTAAATCATAAGTTGCTGTCTAATATATTCTTTATAATTGCTTTCAGGTATCKTACAGTGCTGATGGTTTGGAAGCTGTTGTATTTACTGCTCAAGGTGACATGCGACAGGCGTTGAACAATTTGCAATCTACGTGGAATGGCTTTAGACACGTTGATAGCACAAATGTATTCAAAGTTTGTGATGAACCACATCCCCTACTTGTTAAAGAAATGTTATTAGAATGTGCTGACCAAAATATCTCCAAGGCGTTCAAAGTATAAACATTATTTAAATGTTACATTTCAAAGATTTTTAGCTTCTAATTTTTTTGATTTTTTTATATTAATGTAGATTATGGCTCATTTATGGAAACTTGGTTATGCCCCTGAGGACATCATTACAAACATATTTAGAGTTGCTAAACATTTGGAAATCAAAGAATCTCTGAAATTAAAATTTATACAGGTAAAAGAGTATATCAATATCATACATTGGGTACGTTTCAACTTGAAATTAAGTCAGAGTCATACCTAGGAACTTTGTACCGGGACTAATTTTTTGATGAGGCACCTCAATCTATWATATAAATTCAGTTTTTTTGCTTTATGGTTTTTCTATACTCTATTTGTAAGATTATTTATAAATTATACCATATACCTATGAGTAATTGTTTAATGTAGTTTGGTATAAATAAAAAATATATAACTATTACTGTAATAATAAATATATGGAGGCTCCTAATTTTATCGAGGCCTGGAGCTTCCCATAAGTAGGGCTCTGAATTTAGTAGTTAAAACTTTGAATATAACTACCATAACAACAGAGACCATGTTATTCCCCAAATAATCTATTTAAAATTTTATCTTTCTTATAATTATGATAAAGAGTTAAACATATTTTCAATTCTATTTGTATGTAGGTTGTTATTGTTAACAGATAAATTTATTTTTGTGTTTGAATATCTAAAATCTAAACATTAATTTTTTAAACTGTTATCCTAAACTCATGCCTACAATTCTTATAAGTTATAAAATGTATTTATATTTCAGGAGATTGGAATGGTTCACATAAGGATTGTTGAAGGAATGAACTCACTACTTCAATTGTCAGGGTTATTAGCCAAATTGTGCACAGTAGCTGCCAAAACAGATAGTTAAAAAAGTTGAAATATATGATAACATCTACTTCATTATTTTTCTTGATGTTTATTTTATTTTATTACACTTAAATATAATAAKAAATAGATATAATTAAGRAATTTTGGATTATTTTTAATATTTGGAAGTAGTATGGCATATAAAAACACATTCACTCTCTCATGTTTCAAAAACTTCTAAATATTTTTTGTACATACATATTTTAGTCAAATACAATATCAACATAAATATTTAATTGCTTATACTTTTATCTTTTCAAATTTAATTATTAATTATTGCATAAAATAGTTTTTTATGTAATGGTGCCATTAAAAGTAAACCTTGTCAAATGCAATTATAAAAAAAAAAATGTTAATATAAATTAATCAGATGGAAAAGACTGCTTCTATGTCAACTCAAAATTAGCTTGTGATCTCGAATTGAATTCTGATTTCTTATAAATCAAAAATTTTAATGGAGGTTGCATTAAAATGTATTAATTAAATAGATCAATAAAATTGAATGGTCTAATCATAGTAAGTTATTTTTAAGGGACCCCTTTAGCCCATTATTTATTTGTTAAATGTTTGATGATTGTTAATATAACCTTTCATTAATATTTTTAGAAAGTACATTTTATATTATATTGTATACATTTCTTTTTTTTTAAATTTAGTATAGAAAACAAAAAAATCTAAGGGGTTTTAATTTTAAGAGATGTTATCTGTAACAGAATTAATCTCATATACAATACATTAGAAAGTAGATATCACTCAATATTCGTGACCAATTAAATAGAAGTTAAGATACTGATATTAAATCTTCATTCATGTAATATAAACAATCAGACCTTATACTATTTATTTACTGATAACAACTAACTGCAAAACCACTGGAATGGCCTGTATCTGATGAAAGCAGCTGTATATTTAGTAGATTGGAGATGCCCAATTTTTGAACGACTACCCATTTTGAAAATTCTCGAGACCCATTATATACCAAACAAACAACCTTTATTTTAACCTCTCGAATAAATAATTGAAATATAAAAATAATTATATTCACAGTGAAACGGTWCTTCMGTYATTTAAACTATATTTAATATACATTTTGTAAAAAAATACAATTGATTTCAAAAAGTATTGAAGATGAAACTCTTAGTTTTCTATTTTTTATTGCTGAATTGATTGCTCAATGTTAATTTCACTAGAAATGMAGTAAGCTAAGTAAATGAAATCTCAACAATATTCTTTATAATTTTATGCAAATAATGTAATGCAACCTAATTGTGGGAATCTAGTTATAAAATAAAAGAGCCAAATAGGATTGTTTCCAAAAAATAAAATGTATTTATTTAAATCTTAACACTGGTAATTTTACTTTTATTACAATTAAACAACAGAATCAATTTTATTTTTATATTTTATTCCATAAATTAAAAGAATTAACAATTACAATTTCTTTCAATTAAAATAATCCAGTATATAAAAATAATCATAATAAATATTTATCATTCATAATCTTAATTATAAATATTTCATTCAGCCTTTTATACCTTAGTAAATTTAATTGCACATAAACTTATTCTTTGTAATTAGTAATTAATAATCAGAATATCAAACTAGTAGATTAAGTTAATTTTAAATCATTAAGTATGACTGATTACCCGTGCAGTAAAAAAAAAAAAA